GTGCCAATCCCTATCCTGAGCAAAGTGGCTAAAAAAAATATTTTATATTCAAAAAATCTCATAAGACATGACAGCGACAATTGTGTTTTCCCTGAAAATAACAATCCTAATTCATTGTAAACCTAGCTTTTAAATCTGAATTATTAATATTTTTACCTACCTTTTAAACCATATTTATATATAAAAGGAAGAAGGATGGCATTGTATAAATCATTTGCAGAGATAGTCAATAATAATTATAAACTCTTGTCAGACAATTATTTTAAACCATAATCATAGTAGTTTTTTGTCGTTTCTATGGCAACCTGTAAAAATGAATCACAACAATAGGGACCGTGCGTCATGACTTTAACGCCAACTGGTGACAAAAATGTGCACTTTTTGGGGGAGATTTATTAATATTTTATACGGCATTTATTGTTTAGTAATTATTAATTAAATAAAGTCGAATTATTTTCGTAATATCATTATCGAAAAAACTTGTTGCATCCGTGGATGTACAAACATATCGCTTTGGAAACCTGGATTTGATTCGGTAGTAAAGAAATTTTATAAATTGCCACAGAGCACACTTCGTGTCTCACACTCAACGATACACATAATTACATAGATTGCTTATCCATATGTATCTATCTTGTATCAATTTTGAGCACTTAGTTGTAAACAAATCATTTACAGAATTGGTTTATGAAATTAGAATCTTTAGTGTTTTTGTCATCAAGATTTTTACATATTTAAATGAACATTTTATATAAATATAATTTTACAGATAATAAATGGTTTATTCTATTAAAACTAATGTAGAATGTTACCCGAGAATACAACTGTGAAATTAGAATGTCCAATTTGACAAACATATCAGACAATTTGTTAACTATTTCTCATTTATCACTAAACAAATCATAATTAATACATTGCAATTACTGTCAAAAGAGATTGCAACAAATGTTAAAATATTAAAAATGCAGTGATTTTCTGTAAAATTTTTAGTAACATTACTATTAAACATTCAGAATAATAGATAAGTGTCCAATTACAACTCTTACAAAAGTTGTTTATATCTCATATTAAAGTTATTTACGTTACCTTTACAAAGTTGTATAACATACTGCAATTATGTGTTTTATATAGTGTTATTTCTAAAATGAGAGTGGTCTAAAATTATTTACATCCATCCTTATAAAAATTGTTTAGATCTCTTGATATTATTTAACTACATGGAAACTCAACTCTCAAAATACATAATAATGTGTCTTGAATTAAGTAATTATTTTCTTTTTCTAAAGAATAAAACGCTGAAATTTTATTTTAAAACATATTTGGGCTAGTACGCCCTATTTCGTGGGCACTAGGAAAGGCAATAATATAGCAGTGCACATTGCAACCCGCTTTTCGTAATCTTTTTTATAGATGGGTGAGCAATCTGTATAATTATATGTATAGCATTGGGTGTCTCATAAACGTCAAAGGTGGATGAATGACATTTCTACTAACATAAAGAAGTATTATTATTCTTTTTTATTGATTTACATTTTTAAAATGTTATTGTAATACTTTTAAATTTAGTGTTACTAAATACCGATATTTTGACATTGGATACACTTGCTTGAGGTACAACTTTACAATTTATTGTCACTTAACCATTTAAATCTTTTTGCTTAAAATGTATATACATGTCCAGATTTTAATAATTTTTCACATTTTATATAATTTTGACCATGTAAACGATTGTTTGTTACGGGCCGGTATCTATATTTAATATTTTAAAAAATATCCTTTATTTTTTACTTGCAATGTTTACCCTATTTAATTATAAAATTGAACACTAGAGAGGGCTAACTTCGGCAGTAGTGCTGCCTCTATGTTTCACGCACGGTCCCTATAGGCATACAAATAAATTTTTAAACCAGCAAACATTGATTCATATTTTTAATGATTTTTACCTAATAATCGTGGATAGATGTTTTTGTGCAATATGAAGAGGAAGAAAATGTTTCCCTTTAACGATATATATCAAGATATATTTGAATGTAATTTTCTAGAAAACTTTAAGGGCAAACAAAATTAGCGCTGTCATGCCTTATGTGATTTTTTTAATATAAAATAAATTTTTTTAGCCACTTTGCTCAGGATTGGGATTGGCACAGGTGCCATTTGGTAAAGTACAATGTTTTTCCATGCTTTTGGAGTATATTTAATTTCGTTATCAGATGACGGTAAAAATTTGCAGTGGGCTCTTGGGCTATTACTGTTTCCATATATTCAGACATAATAAACACAGTGATTGAGTAGCATTTTTTTTGCTGCTTTAAAAAGAGTTTCTATTTTGACAAACTTAAGGTTGAATAATTTCAACTCAATAAAATTTTTCTCTGATTTAACCAATCTCTATCGAGGACATGGGCGTCGTTACACAATTCTATAGGGAGGGGCAAAATTTTGAAAAAAATTAGAATGTGTATTTGTTGGAAAACAAAGAAAATGAAAAATAAAAGAGAATTTTCTTATGATGGATTTAATTATTCTGTGACGTCATGGTTTAGTTCCGGTTTTTCGCAATTTATTTTTTATCTTTAAATGAAAACGCCTTTTCTTATTGAAAATTTGAATTTCTGGCACATTTTTGTATAAGAAGCGTTTATTGAAAATTTTTTGTCAGTAACATATTAAAAAATATATTTTCCAATATGATGGTAATTTCACAGCTGAAAATTTTCAACATATGATTCTTATCCATAAATGTCCCTAAAATTCAAATTTTCAACAAAAATAGGGGTTTCTATTTAAAAATTAAAAATAAATTGAAATTTTCTGTTATTTCCGATAAAACAGAAGTAAGTCATGAAGTCACACACCAATTAAATTCAGTATATGAGAGTATTTGTCCCAAGCTTTTAAACAAATAAGTTTTCAGTCCAGTATCTCAATTAACAACGAAGATAAAAGCGGATGGAATTATTAAACGGTTTGCTAATAATAAAAATACTTAGATACGCCACTGGTATACGGTAAATGGGTCTCAATGGGAATTTTGAAGCCTAAAAGGATTTTATAAAGTTCGTACATTCCTATATGTTTTTCCATAAACGAATTAATAGTAACATATTTAGAAAAAATATTATCCAATATGGCGGACATTTTGACAGCTGACAGAAAATTGTCAATTCACAATTATTATACAAAAATATCACAGAAATTTAAATTTACAATAAAAAAGAGGGTTTCCTTTTAAAATGAAAAAAAAAATCGATTTTCTGTTATTTCCGGAAAAACCGGAAGTAAGAACAATTGAATCCATCATAAGAAAGTATTTGTTCTAGTCTTTCAAGCAGAACAAAATTATTCCGATATCTCACTGAATAGCGAAGATAAGGGGTAGTGGAACTTTAGTAGTAATCCTAACAATGTCACTGACCTATTTGACAGAACTGATACTTAAGTTGTCATAACAAGTCTCTAATAAATAAAATAACCCAACAAAAAAGACAAAAACTAAAAGAAAAAACAAGAAACTTAAAACCTATTTTTAAAAAACAAACAGAAGGTGTGATATAAAAGAAAAATATGAACAAGAAGACACAGCCATACATAATAATATAAAAAATAAAAATTTATAAAAAAACAAAAACACTCACTGAAACACGACGATGAACACAAAAAAACACACTAGGAAAACGCAAATTTCTTTTTCTCTACTAAAAACATCGATAACAGAAAACTATTTTTTTTTTAGTCAGCCTATTATCATTCATTATTCGCTCCGTACGTGACAGCTGCGCCAACTATTTTATGAACTAACGGACGATATTTGCGAATACTGACAATACAATGTTTAATAAAGTTCGTAATTAACAAATATATATGTTTTTTAATAAAAGTATATAGATTTCAAAACAAGTGAAAAAAAATTATTATTCTTATATATTTTTATTACTTCAGCTAAAAAAAAGTAGTATAATCAATAAAAATCAATAATAAAACATAGGCAGGTATTTACGAGAAAATGTATGAGATCTTGCCTAAGCCTAATAAGTTGTCATTGAAGAATAGGTTAAATAATATCAAAATAAAAACGTTACCATTATATAATTACATAGAATTAAAAAGTATTAACAAAAATAAGTGGTATATTTGTGATTGTAATTTATATTTTCTTCATTTTTAGTTCGAAAGAACCCATAGAAATTAATGATTAACACTGGTTTCCTATCAATAAGTCACAAGATTGCATTTCAGCTATATACAATAATCAAAGGCAGAAATCTAATCATTTGCTAAACATTTCAGATTTAATGGATGTTAAAGAATATCATAAAATAATAATTTATTGTTTATTTAAAACCTTTTCTGATGTCTATTATTTCGAGTATTACTGTTATTATTACAAAAATAAAGGTTTTTCTTCTTAATATACAGCTGTCCATTTATTTCTTTGATTTAATTTAGATTTTGCTACTGAAAATTTATATAATTTACAGTTTTTTTTGCTAGTATAATTTGCAATATAGCAACTCCGGTTGCTCATTTTATTGTTTTTAACCTATAACGGTATAGTGTATTAAAAGTTGTTAAGTTGTTACTTGGACAGTCTATTAAAGCACATTAAGATCTTTTGGATAACTGCCCTTTTTACTCTTTTATTGTCCCAGAGAGGTGGTGGTATACATTAAAACCGGACTAACATTTTAGACATCAACGTGTTTTAATTAACTAGCCAGCCACCTAGTTCACATTCCAACAACAAAAATTCCGTATGAGTGCCATAGCGCAACCATAGCCGTGTCTTTTCTGCATGCGAGAGATAGCAAATTTAAATCCCGTGCCAAACGGCGGTGGTATAAAATTAGATCGGCAACCCAACTTGCTTCGGATAGCAAGTAAAGCCCGCGGGCTTGGTTGCCTAGCGGTAGTCGTTGAATCATGTAGAAGCTGGCCTGAGAAAAATTACGCGGACGGACGTTCTTTATTTTTTTATCAATATATTTTTATTATTGTTGCAGGGTACACAAATCGACATGACGAACTGCAAGGCGTGTTCCAAGCAAGTCTTTCAAATGGAGCAAATCAAAGCGGAAAAAGCAGTTTGGCACAAAAATTGCTTCAGATGCACAGAGTGTAGTAAACAATTGACGTAAGTAAAGGATTTTTTATAAATTGTTATTTAAAATTAAACTATTCTTTTGTGGAATAATATCCAGTTTCATTTTCAATCGTAAAACTATTTATCTATCTTGTTGTTTTTGTCCTTTTTATGCTTAGTATCATTTATCTACTGTGATAACATCCCTAAGTGATTGCATTTTTAAAGCTTGAATCTAAATCAATCAGAAACAGGTCACTTACTTAGTTTGTATCCAAACAGTTTAAGCCGCTTACCGCTTACATTGAAGCAGATTAAGCGAAAAAAGCCGCTTAAACTATTGTCCGTTTATATCACGCTCGGGTAGGCTATGTCTGGAGCGGTTTGAAAAGAAAAGAAAAATAACTTAATTGTTGTAGTATTTTTAGTTTATTTTATATCCGTTAACTATTAAATTTCGATGTCTTAACGTTTGGCTAATTTTGACAACACGCGAAAATATATTGCTTTGTCGTTGATTTTAATCTAAGTCTAGCGGCCACAAGGTGGTATGATCGTACCTCCGGCTGGAATTTTGTTAAGTGTGTTGTAAATTTTTATTTGTTAGGTTACCTATATTGTTTTTTTTTAAGAGGTTGGTACGACGAACAGTCAGTTGGAGAATGTAGAGAAGAGAGTGAACATCGGAGTCCATAAAAACTATTTTTCTAACTTTATTGTTGCATTTTTCTGTGTTAATACATAGCTAGTTTATTTTGAAGTGCCGTTTTCTATTATCACCCTTAATGGCCTTACCCCTAAGCATCTTGACGAGAACCTAAGTTTGGCTAAAGCCCCAAAGAAGAAAAAAGCCAACAAACTCAGAAGTGGGATCAAGAAAGGGTTAATTAGAGACAGAGACCAAGTGCGATAGTGCCCAGAAAGACAGGAAAAAACTTGTGAAATTAAAAGAAAATTGAAGTCAGAGCCCGCCAAAACGAGAACAGAAGGTTATCAAATTCTTCTTTTACTAAGTCCGTTATCGAGTATGACAACGCAACAAACCTGTAACACGTACACACAACATAAGAGACCATTAAACAAAAAGAAGAACAACGTGGCCTAAACAGTCGAAGAAACATAGCCACTAACTGCCGAACATAAAAAAAAAAGAAGAAAAGTGAGGTTATAAAAAAAAATATAGAGACGAAAATGAAAACGATAAACAGCGAAATTTCGAACGAACAAGGTGCAAATCAAGAGTCAAACGCCGCAGAAGGAAGCATGGAAAACAATTTAGCTCAAATTCTATCGCTGATAATAATAGAAAACAGAAAGAGAGACGAAATGATTGAGAGATTAATAACACAAGGTACACAAAATCCCAAAATTCACACACAGGCAGGACCCTCACAGACGAATAATTTTCAAGTAATGCCAGATCTAACTAAAAATGTAGAAACATTCGATGGTAATAACAAAGCAAGCGAGTGGATCGATAAAATATGTAGCAAGAAACTACTCCACAACTGGCCAGACGCTTTTGCAATTGAAATAGCTAGGTCAAATTTAACGGGAGGTGCCTATAATTGGTGGTTAGCCAGACAAAATAAAATAAATACATTCAAAGATTTCGAAGAAGCTTTCCGAAAAAGTTTTACACATACAGAAGGGCTTGCTACCAAATGGAAAAGAATGTCAGAAAGGGTGCAACAGAGAGGTGAAACTATAAACGATTACTTCTATACAAAACTATTACTTTGTGAACAACTAAACTTATCATTCATCGAAACAAAAGAGCAGATATTAATAGGTCTATATGATAAACAACTATGTGCTACGATGCTTGCCAAAGAGCATAGAGATGATGATCATTTAATACACGACTTACATGATTATGAAAGAATAGACAAGACAAGAATTGAAAGAATTAGGGGAAACAATAATGTTGAAAAGAAAACAGAGAGAAAACCAGAAAGAAAATTTGAGAAATTAGAAAGAGACAAACAACCATTCCTGAAAAACTTACCTGAAAGAGATGGAGATGGAAAACCATTGTGTTTTGTGTGCAAGAAATATGGCCATGTATCAAAACATTGCTATTATAATAAAACTAAAGAGAATTTCCATACAGGTGAACCGAGAAGTCCCATTACGCCTAACAGAGTAAAAAGTGAAGCACAACCATCAACAAGTCATCAGTTAGTGGTAGCAACAAACACAGACAATATTAAATCTGGTGATAAATTTTTAAAAGAGGTGACTATAAATGGTAAAATAAACACTATTGGGTTCATAGATCCAGGATCAGATGTCACTACAATTACAGAGGAATTAGTTCATAAAAACCAATTACAGTGTGTCCCAGAAACAAAAAGTCTTTATGGGTTTGGTAGCGAAATCCCAATTACAAGCCATTTTATCACAAAATTTAAAATAAAAATCGATGAAGTCGAAGAACAAATAGAAGCATTAATTGTACCAAAGAAAGCCCAACCTACAGACATATTAATAGGAAGAAATTTCACCGAATTGTCACACGTTGCATATGTGAAATTAGGAAACATACTTCATTTTGGGTATAGAAATGAAGATCCATTTAAAAATATTGAAATTCAATGTGAGAGTGCTAAAACAGAAATAGTTGTCAGCGAAAATACAATGTTGAAGGAACATCAGATAAATTTTGTGCAAGTGAACATTGGTGATAAAAAACACATGTTGGCAGTAGGAGCAGTCAAACAAGAAATTGAGGTGAAAAAAGGCCAGCAGGTAGGAGAAATCAGAGGCGTATCAACGGGAGTACCAGAAATAAATATAAAATCATCAGGTGAACAAGAACCAATCACTTTAAATCAATTAAATGTAGAAGAATCAGTTGATTTACATGAACGAGAAAGACTTTTGAACTTAATAAATGAATTTAGGCATTGTTTTGCATTGAACATTTCTGAATTGGGTTGCACTGATGTATTAAGTGTAGAAATAAAAGACAGTGATATTCCTGTGCGTTCGAAACCATATCGTACTAGTTTGGAAGATCTGAAAATTATAAATGAGACAATTGAACAGTGGCGTGAGTGCGGAATAGTGAGGGATACCACATCCTCGTATTCTTCGCCAGTTTTACTTGTACCGAAAAGTTCTGGAGAAAAGCGACTTGTTGTCGACTTCCGTAAATTAAATAAACAGACTGAAAAACTTAATTTCCCGTTACCACTTTTAGACGATTGCTTTAATGTTTTTTCGGGTTGTACTATATTTTGTACTTTGGACTTAATGTCAGGATATCTGCAAGTGCCAATAAATGAAAATTCTAAACATAAGACTGCCTTCATAACTGCAGACGGTACTGCAGAGTTTGAAAGATTGTGTTTCGGGTTAGTGAATGCGCCATATGAATTTTCAAAACTTATGGCAATGGTCCTGGGCCCTATGAGGAATAATATTGTAGTATCCTATTTAGATGATATCTTAGTGCCTGCCAAAGATTGGGACGATATGTTACATAAACTTCGATTAGTTTTTACGGAAATAGCAAAAGCCAAATTAACCTTCAAACTGTCTAAATGTGAATTTGGAAAAACTTCAATAAAATTTCTAGGTTTTACATTGACAAAAAATGGAATTAAACCGGGTGAAACAAAACTTCGTGCTATAAGTGAATTTCCAAAACCGACGAATAAACATGAAATTAAAAGATTTTTGGGATTAACTGGATTTTTTAGACGTTTCATTAAAAATTATGCAGTTTTAACACGACCATTAACCGATTTGACAAAAGGTAAAGAAACTTTTAAGTGGGGATATTTACAGGAAAAATCTTTTAGTGAACTGAAGGAAAAGTTGCAACAGGCACCCATTTTACAACTTTATAACCCAAATAGCCGTACCGAACTTCACTGTGATGCCTCCAGCTTGGGCGTAGCAGATATACTACTCCAGGAGGGTTCAGACAAAAATATGCATTTAATTTATTGCGTTTCCAAAAAGACAAATGACGCGGAAAAACTATACCACTCATCTAGATTAGAATTATTAGCAATAGTTTGGTGTGTTGAGAGACTTAGAACATTGTTGTTAGGTATTCATTTTACCGTTATAAGTGACTGTCAAGCATTAGTGTATCTAAATGCACAAAAAACTTTAAACCCACAAATTGCTCGTTGGTACACAACTCTGTCAGAATATAGTTTTGATATTAAACATCGTGCAGGAGAGAAAATGTCACATGTAGATAGCCTAAGCCGAGCTGCTATTGAAGATTCAAATCCAGACGGTATGATAGAAGAAATATATGAAAAAAGACTTGGAGTTTTTATTACAATACCAGAAGAAGAAAGAGTTCTAATGATGCAGAGAAATGATACCAGATTAAATAAAATAATAGACATTCTGAAAAAACCAGAAGAAGAAAGAAAACTAGATGAACAAAATTTAGTAAAAGGATATGAGATAGACTCTGGTAGATTATATAAGAAAATAAAAGTTAGTGGAGTTGATAAGCTGTTATATGTCATACCAGATTCAATGAGAAAATCTATAGTTATTACTTACCATGATCAGAGAGGCCATTGGTCTGTTGAAAGAACTGTTGCTGCCATACTTCAAAAATTTTATTTCCGAGGTCTCCGAAGATATGTCCGACAACATATTTGGGGATGTTTTCAGTGTTTCTTAACTAAAGAACCAGGAGGTAAAAAAGCTGGATTCTTACATCCACCCAAAATGCCTCAAAGACCTATGCAAAAGATACATGTGGATCATGTAGGACCCCTAGTGAGAAGTAACAAAGGAAATGTACACATCTTGGTTATAGTAGATGCTTTTACACGATTTGTAAAACTTTACCCCACGAGATCAACAACCTGTTTAGAAGCTGTAGAAAAGTTGGAATTATTTATTGCTCAATTTGGAACTCCACAAATAATTGTTAGTGATCGTGGAACAGCATTCACCGGAGTAGAATTTAGACGTTTTTGTGAAAAGAATGATATAATCCATCATTTAATTGCAACACATTATCCTCAGGCAAATGGGATGGCTGAGAAACAAATGCGTTCAATAATACC